CTTTGCCACATTGATGTGTGTCCAGTGTAATGGATTGACTAAATGCTGAAGGTTATGGTCCCTCAGGGCAGTGTTTTTCAAAGTGGGGGGGGGTGAGGGCATTGCCCCCATGGCCCCACAGACCTGTTGCTGGGGGCAACGGTGAATTAAGGCAAATCAATTTTAACTTCAATATTTTCAATAATCGTTCCACAGTGGGTTTTTTTCTAATTGTATTTATTTTGTTCAAGAAGAAGTTGTCCTACCAACAGGGGGCGCTGCAAAAACACTTTGTGAACCACTGCCCTAGGGGATTTCTTCCTGAAATAAATGTCACTTTAGCGTCAGCATCAGTACACCGCTGTGATATTCCGATGGTTTTGTTCCTGGGATTATTCGGGTCTCGGCCTCTTTGTTTTACAAGATTCTGCAAAAAAAAAAAATAAAAAAAAATAAGCGTGAGATTAAAGGGAACTAAGGTGGTGGCAGACAGATGCCCCATCACATTTGAAGAATCACCAGCTGCTACGTTCAGAGGAAGGAGCGTGTGCGTGTGAAGCATGAACGTCAGCTCTGCTTCTCCCCTCTGTTTATCTTAGTTGACTTCCCGTGGGGGATTATAATGCCGGTGTCAGTGGACGCACTAATAGAGATGTGTGAGGTGAGGCCTGCTGTATACATCACTGCCTGGGATCTGTGCTCCACTATTACAGTCCTGTCACCTCGGCCCAGGGATTAGAGCCATCTTAAATGGAAGAACAGCTTTGTACGGCGCCGGGCTGAGAGGTTCTAATCCAGACAAACAACACCTTCAGATGAGGTATCAAAGCAGACTGTCATCCACCGATCCGTCAGAGTCGGCGGCGGCGGTGGTGGTGGTGGTGGTGCTGCGTAAATGGCTGCCGCGTGGACAGCGTGGAGAGGATTAGTCAGATCCAATCTACCTGGAAAATGTTAATGCAGCAGATGAAACTTTCTCAGCTTGAAATAAAAATTATGTATTTGCAGAGTTGAGAAGGTTACTTTTTAAAATGTCATCTGTATCAGAAGAGAGATTTCCTGCTAAAGATTGCGTTGGTATTATCACATACTGTGACATTTAAAATGCTCTGCAAATCTGCACGACACCCATGCTATCATTTTTTTTTTAGCAGTGTGAGTGGGATGGCCCCAGGGATTCTAGTCTGAGTACGTCGGCCTGTCAGGATCCAGACTGAGACACCGAGTCTCAGGGACCGTGACGGTGTCGTCGTTTATTGTCTTTATATGTTGTCGGTAACTTATTATATTCACATATATTTCTGGTTGTCTCAGCAGCAGGAAGTCGCTGTGATTCGTCTCCTGACGTTGAACTTTGTTGATGTTTGAGAACCCGTTCAGACTTCGTCCTGTTTCTAAATGATTCTAATTTATAATCTTTTCTATTTTTCTCCTGCTGTTGTAAAAGAGATTGTTGGACATAAATATAGAGAGACACATTCAGTCTGTTTGGCTGCTTAGTTTGTAGCTTTGAATCAATGAAATGATTTTAAATTTATTTTCATAATAAACAAATATCTTTGGTTTTGGAGGATTTAAAAAAAAAACCCTAGAGTTCAAATATAAAACTACATCTCCCAGTTTGTTGGTCACGTTCTGATGCTGGTCACCATCACCTGTTATTATCCCAACACTGGATACATGGTTAGTCCTCCGAGAGTAAGAGAGTCAGAGGTTTGATTCCCAAGTGGTCCTTGTTTCATCAGATTTTACCCACAATTCCTAGCTGTCCAAAGTTTGTCCTTGTTGTGAAGGAACCGGACCAGGTGGACTGATCATCCAATGAGATGAAGAGGGAGGGGCTTAGGAACCTGAGGTTGATGTTTGGTCGGGTTAGTTGATGTCGTCCAGGGTTTTGATGACCGTGACGGTGGCTCAGTGGGTGATCCACACACTGTGAGTCTGGACTTTTTACAGAATCTATAAAGACTGTGGACGATGGAGGGGGGAGGAGAAGAGGGGAGGAGGGTGAGAGAGAGAGACATTCTCCTCTGCTCTAGGGGGCAGCGTTTCCTTCAATTATATTTTATTTCTCTTTTATTTCTGAAAGTCTGATGTGAGTTTCCCAACTCTGAAGAAGACTGTGCTGTGGGATTGGTTCATTTCTAACACCGTGTGTGTGTGTGTGCGTGTGCGCGGCTATAAACCTTGAACTTTTGGGCGGAAGATTCCAGTTTTTTTTTTCTTCTTTTTTTGTCAGTTTGTGAGATCGCTTTCTGACCTTTTACTCAGTTTTTTTTTTTTGTGCCGTCAGCCGTATCCTCCTCCTCCTCCTCCTCAGTGACGGCTGCTGCTGCTGGAACTCTCTTCCTGTCAGCAGGATATGACTGACGTCATGTATTAATAATGTTCCATAATCGTTACAGTCTTCATCTAACCCGTGCCCCCCCCCCCCACCCCCTGACACCTTCATACCTCCGTCCTCCTCTGGATCTCACTCACTGTTTCTGAGTTGATTCACCGAGGACAAATAAACCAAATATATAAACGTCTGTGGCGGAGGCCTCTGAGCAGCGTAACAAGTTGAGAAAAAAAATAATAATAAGCCAAAAGCGTCCTGATTTGCATTTTTATTTAATTTTTCTTTGGCCCGTAGCGCCGTGTACAGAATCAATCTTTTTAACTCAATTTCCAATATATGACGGAGAGACGGCGGGAAGAAAGCAGGAGTATTGATTGGCCCAGTGTTCGTTGAGTCTGTGCTCCGACTGCTCACTTCATAAGAATCACAATGAAAATGCTATTTGTTTCCGATCTCCTGCTCTTGGATGTGAGTGAAGGTGTAGAGGTGGATGTTTGACGTGCGTGAGGTGTGGCGATCGATGGACGTCGCCACGACAACCTGTTGGCCTCAAATATTTGTTGTTGTGATGGGAATATTACAAAGTACAAAGTACACAACAACAACAACACATCACTGTAGTGGGGGTGGAGTCTGAGCGGGAAAGTTAAGTTCAGGAAGAACGTGAAAAAGTCACTGTTCGTTTGTTCCCAGAGTCAACGTTGAAGAAAAGGCTGAAAAATGGAACTCGGTGCTAAAGATAGAGGTTAAAATTTAGACGTAGTCGTGATACAGTATCGATAATTTTCTCTTTCTTCTCTAGTGATTCCAAATGTAGATCCCTCTGTTCCAGTGTTAGGAACTGATGTTCAGATGGAACAGAGTCTCAGACCAGGATCACACTTCAATATATCACCGTGTCTGTAGAATCACGACGTCATATCGTGATAGATATCGTAACGCCAGATTCATGCCAACACACAGCCATATTTAAACGGTTGATAAAGTTATTAATAACTAGTGTTCATATCTGAGTTACCTGTTAAATTTCTTTTCCTTTTTTATTCTTCTAGATTGAATTTTCTGTGTAGAGACGAGTGTTTTTGTTTTTAAACTCAGTACAAAATGTTTGTGTATTTTTTTATTATCTTCTTCATTATTTTTCAGCAGATCTTGTTCCAAAAATCACCCAGATCAGTGGTTCTTAAAGCCTGGTGTTTTTGTCGTTGTGAGGTCACTGTTTTAGAGCAGGATGAACTTGAAAACTTGTTTCTGTGTTTCTGTGTTTCTGTCTGCAGTGCTGTTTGGCTCCTGGGTTTGAGACCCTAAATGTTAGATTATGTTCGAGGACCTAGAACATCTAGAACCTAACGACTGATGGACTGAATGAGTGATACAGATGGATGTTGAGAGATTATGAAACACTGCATGTAAATGACCTTTGACCTCTGCCTGAGGCTGCAGAGGAGCAGCATAAAATAAAACTCTTCATATCATTAAGAATGAGACTGACAGCAGGGGGCGCTGTGATTGTCTGTGTTGAGTCCTAAATGATGTACCAGGTGACCTAAGCTGTAGTTCGTTAACGTGTCTTAACGGGCAGTGTCATCATTGTGATCATCGTACCAGGTGACCTAAGCTGTAGTTTGTTAAGGTGTCTTAACGGGCAGTGTCATCATTGTTCCCTCCTGCCCCTGGAGTCAGTTAGAGGGAGTTAGAGGGTGGAGGATCTGGAGGTGAAGTCCTGACTCTGAGAGGAGGACACACCTGCCTGAGGACAAGTCCTCCGTGCACACACTGAATAAATCCAGGAGCCGGTGATTTTCAGTGAGGAGCAGAGACTCCTGATGGAGGTGCGGAGGCAGGCGGCGGTCTGCGGCTGCAGCGCGGTGATTGATGGGAGGTGACATGCGTCATTTACTGGCCAAGCTGCAACCAGAAAGAATCTCCATCACATCAGTCAGAAGAAAAATTG